CGTTTAGTCGTTGATGATAGCAGATTTACTAAATTTCGAAGTGACTTGAGAAGAGCCTGCTACAGAAGATGAAAATTTGAAGTTATCTTAGTCTCTACTGCATATCAACAAATATACAAGAATTTGTAAAGAAACTAAACCCGATTGGAAAAGGATTAAAAATCAAAAATAAAAAATCCTCTTATTGTTCAAACTACTACACAATCAATCAATCCAAAATTTCAATTCCGTATCAAATTAGAACACTGCAAAAGAACCACAAATAACTTCAATATAAGAACCCATAAAAAAGTCACATAAGTATTATACAAGAGCCATATGTAATAGTTACAAAAGCATAAACATCTTCAATATAATAACTTTAAAGAATCGGGCTTCACAGAAATTGACATCTACTGGTTTCACTAAAATAGTTACAAAAGCATAAACATCCATTGATTTAAAAGTCACATAAGTATTATACAAGAGCCATATGTAAATGCTAGCAAGCTAATGTAAACCGATTATGCATCAAAAACAGAAAACAATCAAGCCTACCTTGAAATAATGGAGAAGAAGACTCCCAGAAATTAAGCCTCTCTCAAACAATTGAGGGCTGGTGTCTACGCTTCATATTGAGAGAACGAGGAAAAGAGATTGACAGGGAATACGGGAACGAGATGGTGGCGGGAGCGAGAGTGAGAGAGGGGGAAGAAATTAGGGCGGGTTTGAGTTTTTACCAAACCAACCGGGTCGAATTTGTATGATTTATGTTTAATTGATATAGGACAACTATTTTTGAAATTTGAAGAAGTGTTGGATAGAAAATTAACAAAGAAAAATCATACCAGAAGCAATTTTGTCGCGATGGAGTCGAAATGGGCTGAAATTTGGCAAGTTGATTGGAAACGACCCGAGAAATTGGACTCGGGGCTGAGATCTCGGGATTTTAGCCAAATCCCTTTGGTTAGGCCTCCGAATAATTAATTTCCGTATTTTCCGTTTTGAATTTTCGTCATTTTTGGAACGTTTTATTTTTCCTATGTTTTAATGACTTTTGGAATGTTTTCCATGAGAATTGAATAATATACAAGTTTCATTCTTAGAGAACTCCAATTTTCTTATTTTCAAGATTTACGTTGGTAAATCTTTTATTTTTTTCTTACTTCCGTTCTGCGTCATTAATGTTGAATTTACTACTAATAAATTAACGACAACATTCAAAGAACGTTTCCAAAGACAATTAATCGCAACATTCGTCGAACGTTGCTAAAACAAACCAACGGCAACGTTCAACGAACATTGCTAAAACAAACTAACAGCAACGTTCAATGAACGTTGCTAAAACTGAATAACGGCAACGTTCAAACTCAATTTTAGCAACGGGTAATGCACGTTGCCAAAAATAATTAATGGCAACGTTCTTTGAACGTTGCTAAAACATCTACAGCAACAGTCATTGATCGTTGCAAAAAAAAAAAAAACACAACAACGGTCAATGAACGTTGCGAAAGGGTGTAACAGCAACGAAATTGCCGCCAGTGCGATCGGAAACGAAATCCGCGCCTCACTGGCGGCAATTTCGTAATTTTTCGCGAAATTCGACTGGCTGATCGGAAACGAAATCCGCGCCGCACTGGCGGCGAAAGGGTGTAACAGCAACAACCGAAAGTTGCTAAATCTTAATTTTTTCAACCAATGGCAACAAGCATTTGGTGAATAGTGAATGTTGCAATAAACCCCTTTTAGCAACATACAATTGGTGCATGTTGTCATTTACATGTTATAAAAGGCTATTTTTCTTATAGTGACACCAATTCAATTTTTAGAGAATAAGTTTATATTTCCAAAACTCAGTGCTAATCAAATTCTATTATATAAATAAATAATTATAATCTCTCTCAAGTCGGGACTATAGTCATCAGCATTCGCTCCGTCGCCATCTCCTCTTACAATCATCGGAATCTACCCGCCACCTATATCCACAAATCGGCATCCAAATAACTTCACCATAGAAAATATAAAATCTACATAGATCATCGGTGGCTGAACATCTTCTTCAACGATGAACTAATCATTGCTCAATGACTACTGAGCATTATCAACTCAGACAGTAGAGAGAGAGGGAAAACATAGTGACCGTTGATAATATCAACTGAAGCATTGTAGTCAACTGATCATCTTTTTCAACAATGATTGTGTAGTGGTGGTGTAATTTAAATCTATTTGTTAAAATAAAAAAATATAAAAAGCCCACAGTGTAATTTAAAGAGTACTCGCCAGATCAAATAACTTCAATTCTCATTGCCGAAATTTGGTTAATTGAATTTGTGGCCAGTTCGGAGAAATCAATAGCATGTGACCAATTCTCTTGAATTTAAATTGATTTGTTGCATGTGATATTGATCCAATAGCTTGTGATCAATTCTCTTGAATATGTGACCTGTAAACATTGATATGTTACCTACAAATAGTGACCTCTAACTTGTGAACTATAATCCGTGTGACCATTTAATATTGACATGTGAACTATATAACCAGTTACTTGTGAACATCACATATACAATATGACTTGAGATATGTGAATGGTGACCTGTGACCATTTAATATTAACTTATAAACTGTAAATTGTGATCTATGAACATATGTAGCATATACAATATAACCTGTGACCTGTAAACTATTACATGTGATATGTGAACTATAACGTATGACTAATTAATATTGACCCGTGAATTATAAACCATCAACACCTCCCCAATTCATCAAATCAGAAAACACTCACAAATAGCCATCAACAAACCACACCACCATCACCTTACCATTGTTGTCGCTGCTGCCACCACCACCTGCTCTATTGCACCACCACAACCTCTCAATATCGCCACTATTACCACCACCTCACTAACACCGCCATCTTATCACTACTGCACCACCACCAAGCGGGATGCGAAATAAGATCATGGGGTGCCAATTATAAAGAAAATAGCAAGACCCAACACAACAGAGAGACAAAATGTAGATGACAAAGAAAACTGTAAGAAGTAGTAGATTCAGCAACAAATGGTTGCAGCAGATTGTTCCCCATCTTCCCCGTCATTCAGAACCAGATCTCGACCTAACTCAACAACATCGCACTACAATAACCCACAATAAACCCACACAACCTGGTTACAACCCAACTACAACGAAAAACTAGAGAAAAGTAAGAAGCCGGATGTTTTTGTATAAACCATCATCAAAACAAAATGCAGGCTTAAAGAATGATAAACAAATTAATTCACACAGTTGATTAAAATAGCAAGTCTAAGGCTTCAAAAAGTGTCTGATAGAAATTGGGAGAGAAGGGGAGGGGGATTGTGATTAAATCGTTTTATGGGTGGGTTGAAGGGGTGGAATGTCATTTAATTTTGCAATATATTATTATTGATAACAAAATATGAATTTATCACCTGATAAACAAACCTTTAATTTGATTTTTAAATTGTGATCTTTAAATGACTATTGGTGTGTAATTTCCGCGTGAAAGAATTCATTGTGTTTTCACCTCTGTGGACTAGCTATTCATGACTTTATGATAGAATTAATTTCATACTGATTTCAAATTAGAAAGAATTATGGTAAAACTTCTCGTCGCTCGAGGTTAGACCCACCATAATGAAACTCTTGCTTATACCATAATAATTAAGTGAAAGTAATTATAACTAAGCAAGAATATTACCAAAAACCAAATGATTAGTCATCACACCTTAAAAGGGTTCAAATGATCAAATTTGGAACACAATAATAAGATTGTTTCTTGAATATTTTTGGTCAACAACACATAATAGTTATGAATCTCCTTGAGGTTTAAACTTGAAAAAGAATATTCTTAATTCATATCCAATAAAATAAATAGCAAAGCATATCATAAAAAATAAATAATTAATTAACGTATAACCATATCAGAAAGGGAAATGCTACACAAACAGGGACAGGCCCACAGGCCATGTTTGATAGCACTATATTTTCCATGAAAAATGGAATTCAAATTCCAACTTCCACTTTTTGACTATTTGATAGCATATTTTTTCAATGGAATTTGGGTTTCTTGGAAGCTGAAATTTTCTTGGTTTACATTTTTTTTAATTAATTAATTAATTTATTTATTTTTATTTTTTTGCAATGAAAATAAATTTTATCCCTAATTGCAAAAAATATTTTCCTTTATTTGACAATTTCTATGTAAAACAAAGTTAAACAAATATCAAAAGATAGATGATTTTCTTTGCTTTTTTTGACAATTGAAACAAATTTTATTCCCAATATCATTGAATTCTATCCCTTTAATTGACAATTTTTATGTAAAACAAAGTCAAACGAACACCAAAAAATACTTTTATTTCAACATTTTCTTCGAGAAAAATTATACAAATCAAACACAAGAATTAACAATCAGTAAAATAATTTTTAGGCAATTCAATTCCCTATAATTCGTTTTTCCACTCAAATTCCATATTTGCAATCAAACGGATCCTAATTTCTCCTACAATGGAAGATAAATAGACTCTTATTTTAAATGAAAACATCTTGACTCATTCAAATCGGACCTTGAATATCAAAGTGATTAAGTGCTTGTTTGTACCTCATTATTTATGAGTAATGTATTATAGAATAGTGATTGATGTTAAAATGTGTGATAAAATTTTTTTTTGATTTACATGTAATATTATTTTACTAAAGAATATATGATTGAAAATGAGTACTCTACAAAAATAATGTGGTAAAATGTGGAAGAAAAGAAGACAAACAAATCCCGGCGTACAGCGCGTACAACAGTGTATCCACGTCATCCAGCGCGTACAACAGTGTATTCACAATATATAAATCTCCCCCCCCCCCCCA